ACAATGCCTTCGACACTATCCTACGCGGCATGTGGTGGGCTCTCATCACTATGGCTACCGTCGGCTACGGCGACATCACACCCAGCTCCATGGCCGGCTACACACTGACGGTGTTCTGTGTTGTCGCGGGTATTCTTCTCACCTCCTACACTGTGCCGATTCTAGTCAATGATTTCCTGCTCTACTACAGTCACGCGGACCAACTGGCCTGGATGCGACGGGTACACACCTCGGCTACAGAGAAGAGACGAAATGAACGGCGTGATCTCCTGGCCAAACGGAGAATGAATCGAGTGCGTGCCCTACTGAAGAACTCCGTGGTAGGAAACTACTCACTGGGTCGGGGTACATCAGCTCATGGCAACAGTACTTAACGAGCGCCCTACCGGTTCAGGCAGCTGCAAGTATGCACACCTGAACATGTTCCACAGCTACGTCTTTCCAGAAATATTGCTTTTATTCTCTCTCGTAATGGGGCCCTATATATTTGTATATTATACATTCATGTTGCCAGAAGCGGTTGGGTGGTTATTTTCCTAAACTGGTCCTGTTTTTTATCCATTATCATCATTACCATCCTCCTCCGGAGGTACTGTGTCTTTCGGAGTGCAACTCTATCAATTCCGCCCCGGTCTCTTACACTTTCTGGTACATTTTTACTCCGAGGCTGGTTTGTTATTTTAGAGGGAAATCCTTTTCGGTATAAATAAATAAAACTTGAAGTCAGGTCTTTTCCCTGAAAAAGGGGAAAGTAATTGCGTATATTTGCTACACTTGACAGCTAAGTCGGCCCTAGATGTAGGCAGAAAGCGAATTTACCATCTCAGTGCCCGTAGAATTTAATACTTGAGTAGTGTTTGCGCCACGCTGGGCTCCTACGCAAACTTTCACGTCCCTCAGTCACTCAAGGCCGTTGTGAAAATAAAGTTATGAAGACCAGAGGCGGATTCGGGCGCAGGTGAATGCCTCGGCGTGGGCCTGCATTTACGCGTACCCCTAACACCTCCCCCATGTTCAGGGTTTGCGAGCGGAGTACAACCCTAATAACATTCATTGATGAACGTTCACCCGACCGCTAACGTAACGCACCTCTTTCGTTTTGCCTGGGGTTTCGACAGAGGCCCTAACATCCGTAGCAGCTGGTAGTGTAGGTAGATAGTATTACCGGCAAAGACAAGGGGGACTGACTTATTAGCCGTCCTCTGCCAGTTATACCTAGACCCAAGTGACTTCCCACCCGAGCCTCGAGCTCGCGACCTCTTGGATCAGAGTCAAACGCCCTAACCAGGAATGGCCATTCAAGTCGCCCTTTACCTACACTTTCATCTGCTACGGCTGTCAGGGCCTCTATCAAGATCCCAGGCAGAGAGGTACAGGTGAGTTCCGGTAACGGTCGGATGAACGTTTATCAGTGAGTGTCAATGTCACGCGAACTAACCCGGGTAGACAACGAGCTCCTGGTTCAATGGTTAGGGCGTTCGACTCTGATCAAAGAGGTCGCTGAGACGCCACTTGGATCTGGGTATGACTGGCTGGCGACGACTAATAAGCCAGAAAGGGACATCCTAGTCTCTTTTGCCTTTGCAGGTAATTCTATCAACCTGAGTAATGCCTGAAGTG